ATGAACCCCATTTAACCTGTTATTGCATGTAACCTCCAAGTTAAAGGTGATCGGAATATCATATTAATATGTTTTGATAACTTGGATGTACAATTCACATAATAATAATAATAATAATAATAATAATAATAATAATAATAATAATAATAATAATAATAATAATAATATTATTATTATTATTATTATTATTATTATTATTATTTCAAAAAAAATTAAATCTTGACCGGTTGTATTTAAAAAAAATTAATTTTTAATAAATTATTATTATCAATAATTGTAAAATTTCAAGCTTGATCACAAGCTTTTAAAAAATTAAAATATTTAATTTTCAATAAATTACATCATCATCATCATCATTATTATTATTATTATTATTATTATTATTATTATTATTATTATTATTATTATTATTATTATTATTATTATTATTATTATATGAATTGGACATGAAAGTTATCAAAACGTATTGATGTAGTATTCTAATTACATTTAACTTGGTGGTTACTTGTAATAACAAATAAAAAGAATTAATTGTATTTTTTCTAAGTTCAAGTATCTAATTTGAATTTTTTCTAATTCAAATGCTTAACTACACTCTCATGAATAGTTCAAGACTTATTTAACCCCTATCTCTTAATTAATCAATTGAAAACATCTAATGATACTACCTATCAAATATAAACACGTGTATAATTCCAATCCCAAGTATTTATCTAACCAATTCAAAAGTAGATAACTATATATGTCATATTCTGACACAGACTGTTCCCTAAACACACAAACCTCAACCTGCTAGCTCAGGCCTACCAACACATGCAGATGCAAAAAATTTCAACTTAAACTAGTCATGTACACACTGAAGTAAGTTTTTTTTTTTTTTTTTTTTTTTTTTTTTTTTTTTTTTTTTTTACAAAGAAGGAAGGGTGAAGTCTCGGATAGAAGGCAAAAATCAATCACCACAGGCATAAGGAGCCCTGATATAATTTCTGTGAACACACGCGTCGAAATCGACGTTTGGGCAAAAATAAAACAGAGTTAAATCGGGGAGAAAACGAGAATTCTTCACCAGCCAATCCGCTACTTGATTTTGTTCTCTCAAAATATGATAGCAATTGGCACTCCAATCTTTTTTTCAACCAAGACTTGCACTCAAAAATGAGGTTATTAAAAGTACCTCCACAATTTGCGTTAAAAAGCGTATCATTAATCTATTTGACAATATTGACTGAATCACTTTGGATAACCACCTTGATAAAGTTCATATCCCAAACTACTTTAAACCAGTGAGGTTCACTGCCCGGACCTCAACAACATCCGCAAGACAGTTTCCAAGGTTGTGTTGAAAACCCATGATCCATTCGCCTTTATGATTTCTCACTCCACCGCATCCTGCCTCATGAACTGAAGTAAGTTCATAGTTGGTTTTTGGATTATTTGTGCTATTAACCAAAGGAAATTGGTGATGAGTGAGTGGACCATCCAAGACTTGATGCATGGTTATGTAAATTATGGTCAATAAAAAATTGTTTCGTGGTACAAGATTGTCCTCAAGAATGCATTGCATTATATTATCGATTCTTGACAGTCATAATAAGAATATTTTACTCTCTTATGAGGGTGACTCCTTGTAGTCAAGAGTGAATCCAGAGGAGGAACAATGGAAGCAGTTATCCTCTTCACCCGGCCTCTTAAAATTTGATATCTTAGGTCATGGTATCAAGCCCCACCAGCAACACTCTCTTTATTTTAGTTTTTTCCTACCTCTTCACACGACTTTTTTTTTACCCTTTCACAAGGTCAGGAGGAGAATATATTTGTGATTCATATTAACTTTTAATATTTTGTCATAAACTTTTTTTTTACTATTCACAAGGGGAGCAGAATATATTTGTGATTGATGTTAAATTTTGATATTTTGTCATATACATTTTTTAATTTAATTATTGGACTTCACCCCACTCAAAAAAATTTCTAAATTTGTCTTTACTTGTAGTAGGTACTATGTCCTTCCACTTAAAGGGCTGTTGAGTTATCTGATTTAACTCATCTACAACTCTTATAAAATTATGATGTAAAGGACCTAGAATAAGTGATTTCACCTTTCGTACTCAAGGAAAAAGTTGCTTGATTAATTTATGTATAAATCATTGATGAATCAAAGGGTCACAAGCAAATGTAATGATGTCTTTAGAACATTTTGTTAATCATGGTCTTTGCACCAGGCATAGGCTTGGCTCACCACTATAACATAGTTAAGTTGTCTGTCTTAATCACCCTTTGGATAAGGATATGGTGAACAAGTTTTTCATTTTTCCTGTCAAAAGTCAAAACTTATAATTTTCATTTGTTTATATATATATATGATCTCAAATTTATATATATTGTGTTTTTGACTCATAATTTAGATAATCTCTTGCAATACATGGAAAAAGTTTATTCTTTTAGTTTCCTAATAAAAGGTAATCAATAATGTTTATGGCATAAAAGTTAAGAAACTAGACATTTCGTACGCAATATTAATCGATTATCGATCAACTTTTAATTTATATTGTATCGTTAACTTTTAATTTAGACAAATTACATGTATAACTTTTACATAATTAAAATTCTTAAATATTCTTAGCCTTCTCGCCTTGTCTCATAGTAAGGTGGTGGGATATTGGGATGGAGACGGGGGTAGGGGTTGGGATATTTGGAGTTTTTAAACTTTGCAGTAATTTCATTTTGAATTATTTGAACTTATTATTGAGTTTAAAATTTTGCATTAATTTTTATTTTAACTATTTGGACTATTTTATTATCCAATTATTAACTTTCTAAATTAGTATTTTACTAGTTTTTTTTTTTTTTTAATGTTCGCGGGCTGGTCTACCAAAACAGGTGGACCATGGCAAGGGCATGTTAGCTACTATATTCCCAAATGACAAGTCACCCCACTCAAGAAACTTTGGTGTTAAAGTCAAGATATTTCACAAATACGGAGTAACATTGATCAATTAACTTTTAATTTATATCATGTAGTTGAAAATTTTCACTTTTGATCTTATGACTATTAGAATGTTGTTAATTATATTATACTTTAAGACTTTTAAAATTATTAATTTAATATTAGATATTGCATAGCTGGAGTGATCAAAATTGAAAAAAATTACATAATTAGGGTAATAAATTGATAAATTTGAAAGTCATGAATTACAATTAATAATATGCTAAAAGTTATATTACCAAAAGTGAAATTTTATCTTTAGGCAAATATCGTATATAACTTTCACAAAATATATGCAATTAGTCCTCAAGATTTGACACATACATGTGCAACCTTAAATTGTAATAAAAAGTAATTAATTGTGTCTATCATATAAAAGTCAAGAAACAAGACATTCTATGGAAAACATTAATTAATTAACTTTTATTAATTTATAATATGTTTTAAAGTTTAATTTAGACAAAAAAAAATTTCATAATATTCACATGATATATATATATATATATATATATATATATATATATATATATATATATATATTTATTTATATAAAGTCCAAAATACTCATACTTGTTCGACGGAATTTCAATTTCCTCCCATCAAACGAGAGAATTTGTTTGATTTTAACATTATATGAAAATTAGGGGTGAATGATAATGTAATTCCCTCCAACTAAATGCTCTAAATCCTATCCAATTTGCATTTTGATTAAATGTTCATTATAAAATATAAATAAGCAAAATGGGGACCAGTTCATAAAGGATCAATTGTTCTTATGATCTTATCCCATATGGTTCAAAAAAAGATTTTAAAAGAGTGAAGAGGCAAAAGTTTCTATCACAACAATTAAACACGTGCAAAGTTAATGGACCAAGAAATTATTAATTTGGTCTGCAAAAAAAGACAAGACCACAGCAACTGCATCGTACCATGAAACCAGACATTGTAGCATGTGTGAAACGACGATGATCACTTAGCTTGGACGCATTAGAATCCAAGACCAAAATGGAATCACCATTTTTTTTTTATCATTTTATAATTAAAAATGATGTTAACTACTAATCATGTTAACCAGATAAATAAAATATCGTGTCACAATTTTCAGTGTTATTATCATTACTCCATTAGAGTAACTAATGAAATAACATGTTTAGATTATTTATAATTAACCATTTTATAATTCAAAATATGATGTTAACTACTAACCATGTTATCAAAGCAAATTCAGCATCGTATCATAATTTTCGATATTAGTTACCATGTCGAACTAAATTCATGGTGACATTAACTATTAGTCTTGTTACCCTACCAAATCCAACATCAATTCTCAATGTTGGCTAGTGGCTACCCCATCTTTAATTTCTAGCCAAATCATATATTGAAACAACCAAATCCATCTCGAAACGGACCAAATTCAACCAAATCCATCTTGAAACGGACCAAATCTAGCATATTAACATAGTTTGAAATGTAACATTGTTGCAGGGTATATGCAAATTATTGGTCCACACAGTGCTGCGTGGACCATTACAAAAAAATACATCTTTAATATAATAAAAGTACATTATTAATGTACTGAATGTACATTATACAAAAATAATGTAGACCATGGTCCACACAATAACGATTGTAAAATATAGTGATAGGCTTTGATTGGACTATTTGTATCACAACAGATCACCCTTCAGACACCTTACCCTTAGAACATCCTCAATGGTTACGATTTAACAAAAAAGAAAAACTCGCATTAGCACGCCCGCTCCTTGTCTACATCATGCGCACCAGGCAAATTTGTTCTGGCTGACTAGTGAGGCCCACAATTGAAACAAAAGCTGGTCCTCCTGCAACTCTCTCCTTCTCTCACTTCTACCTAGAATACATAACTTCAAAAACCATACAAAAATCATGCCAAAAACAATAATGGAGATTGGAGATGCTCTTAGTAATAAGAGCTCAATTTGACAAAAATATAAAACTACAAAATCCTCAAATGATTCAAGAAAAATGGTGATTCAGTTAATATACACCTCAATTAGTAGATGTGCAGACTGAAAGCTGATATTAGATGTTCACAAAAAGTTGTGAGGTCAAAAGCACTAACAATCTCATGAACATAGTGCACTACTACACCAAAAAGTTAAAAGAGCCTCCATGGAGGTTTGGCCTCTCTCTCTCCCCTTCACTCTCTATCTCTCACATTAAAACTGTAATCTCCAGGACACAAATTCAACCCTCTATATACACAAGTCTTCAAAAAAAAAAAAACAAAAAAAAAAAAAAAAAACAAAAAACAGTTAAAATTCGCGCTAGGAATATTAGCAAAAGGAGATTCTCTGTCCCCGGTTAGTTCATTCATCTCGCGTGCTCTAGAGAACATTGCCCGCGGTTTCATCAGCTGCGAATCCCGATGAAGTGGTTGAAATCATGGTGTTGGACCCCCAACTGCTTTAGCCAAGAATCCGCAACGCTAAGCAGCGACACCAGCCTCTCTTGGTCCTTCCCGTTTTTGTCTGAAATCCACACGTCCCCTTGCAACTTGTACGAGGCCAAGCCGAAAGGCGGGAGGGGAACGCTTTCCCCCGCTTTCTGCTTCCTCATACGACCGCTCAAGTCATCATCGAGGTCCATATCTGCATCACACATCAAGCCACAATGATTGCTATAGTCAAAAGCGGAATAATAAAGTTTTTAAAAGTGAATTGGAATATAAGCAAAGGTGAATGGTTGATGGACCAAAGTGAATAGTACCTTGAAAAGACGACGAGAGGGTGTGGAATGTGAGAAAGCAAGTAGACAAGTCCTTACTGGTTTTTCCCATGGGAATGTGATATATCGGGTACCTGAATATTGTTCAGGTCATTAATGACTCGATTTTTTCCTTTATTCCCTTCACATTTTATTGGCCATGAAAGAATCACTGGCCATTTGATCTACCGTAGGAAAATAATCCACTTGAAAAAACAGAATATTGACCACGATAGATGAATTCTATTAACACGTAAGTCACTTGTTCTTCATAAAAAGTTCATAGAGAAAGGGAATATACCAAGCAACTGCCATCCAACTAGCGGGTGAAAGGTCTACACTTCTTAGAGACATTAATCCCGGGTACCTTTGAGCTAAGCCATTAATCTGTAAGAGAAAAAGACAGTAACATCAGATAGACGTAAACACAGAAAAGAACACAAGTAATTCATATAATACATTGTCTCGTCTTCCACACAACCAAAGAAAAACGGGCTTAAGAGTCTAACAAAATCGACCAAACAGAAGCAATATAAATTGTTATGGCTTCACAAAACGTACTATAATGCTAGTAGATAGTTTCGTTGATTCAGTTTTCACTGTCAAAGAATCACAGGCCTTTATTACCATTCAAGAAAATTAAAGACTTCGCCTTTTTGTTGCTTAAGAAGATTCACTAGCACCATTCTTTTAATTCACTAATCATAAAAACAATTTCGAGCGGTTCATCATATGCACCACTACTACATTACTCCATCGACCCTGCTTTTCATTTGAAGCAAGATATATTATGTAAATAAAACGAGCTTGAAGGTGGAAAAGACGAACCTTGTCCATGAGAGGAACTCTTCCATACGGGGTAGAACGCTCGAAATACTGGAAGTATTGGTACCCCAATCTATAATTTAGTTGCAAGAGGCTGTCATGCTCGGGCATACCCTCCTCGGAGGAACACCCGTCCCATCTCGAGAGCTTCTCGCTCTCGCTCTCATCACTGAAGGAATCACTAAACGAATCCCTCGTCTCACAGGACGAATCACTTTCGTCCCTACAAACATATACATACACACACACTTAGCCAAATTCCAGCACAGATATAATAATTAATCACCATTCCAATTCCAATTAAACAACACAAAATCATCTTCTCATCTTAACCTTCATAGCTGCAATTAAAGAACAACACTGCAGTCCATTCATCATAATTACAAACATTAACCATTTCAATCAAATCCAGACTCACAAAATCAATCCAAGAAAACATATTAGTAATGGTACCTTAGACTATTTGCAGAGGCACTGCTTGTGAAGATTTGAAGGGCAGACAAATAAGGCACGAAATACTGAACTATGGTTTCCCCGGTGTCCAATCTGACTGGAACTCCAGCGCCATAAACACTCCATTCATCATAACAGCTCCAAAGATCACCCAATGTAAAGTATTCAAACCCCTCTCTCTCCAGTGGATGCCAGAGCCTATTGAGGCTCCCAATCTCATTCTGCTCACAAAAAGAACAAAACCATCAATACACATATCAGAATCACATCTGTGTTCAACCATAGATTCCCAGCACTGAAATTAAAGATTCATCAATGGGTAATTCCCAATTTCACATTTTTTGGGCTGGGTAGGAGAGATTAGAAACAAACCTTAGCTAAAAACTGGGAAGGGACTTGAGGGGTGGTGCAATCCAGAAAGCGAACAAGATTCGATTGCATTGAGCTCCTGTCCATAGCCATGATTCTTAGAGAGACAAAATCAAGAAACCGCAGAAAGGGAAAGAGAGAGAGAGAGAGAGAGAGAGGGAGACAGAGAGAGAAAGAGGCTTGCAATTTCTCTCTCTATACAAGCTCTGTCAAACAGAGGATGAAAACCAGAACCGAAACAGACAGACAGAGAGAGAGAGGGAGAGGGAGAGAGAACAGAGAAAATATTGTGAGGGAAAGAGAGAGTGGGGAGAGAAAAAAATGGGATTCTGTAACTCTTTATACATGAAATGAGAGAGAAAAACAGTACATAAATATTTGACGTTTGGCGAGTAATTAATTTAATGAAATTGCTAAAATCCGTAGATAAACGAAACAAAAAATCAGCGACTTTTCAAACCTATATCCTATTTCTATTCTCTCTCTTACGAAACTCCCTCTTTTCTCACAGACTTCCCGGCTACCGGAAAGCCAACATTCCGGCAAAACTTTCTGATCGTAAAAAAAGTCAAAACCCACACACTGATTAGCCCAAAGATTTCGATTTTCCTTAAATATAGCTCAAACAGCCTTGTCTTCAAATACAATGCAAATTTAAAGCGTTTTTTGTGTACCTTTTTTTTTCTTCCGGGAAAAACGAACCCGCCAGTTTCGGCCAATAAATTATTGATGCTAAGAGAGAGAAGACGAAGAAGAAGAAAGATAAAGTGAAGAAAAGTGGAGAAAAAGTTCGGAGCTTAGAATTACGTTTGAGCCACGCTAACAATCCAAGCGTCTCTTGAGAGAATTCGAAGGTTTTTGTAAAGAGAGAAAATGTTGAAGATCGATGATGCGGGCGACGGTCCCTTTTCTCGACCAGAATTTCATGGTTTCCGATAAAAAGGAATCAACTTTCTATATAAAGATATTGCACAGTAAATAAATCAAATTAAAAAAATAGAAACAAAATATGTGCACAATTTTATTTTATTATCCTTAAATAATTAGATTCTCTTTTCTTGCCAAGTATCTTGTGCTTAGATGGCATCTTTGTCTCTCTTCTGGAGAAAAAGTCACAAGATTAAACCTAGGTGGTGGGTATTGACTCTTAGAATAGATACTACCTTGTAATAGAATCAATATCAATATTATTAAAAAAAAAAAAAAGATTCTCGTTTCCTAAATTTACCTATTTACTTTCGAACTTCTTGTAAGCGAACCAGCTCCAATAGGTGTGAAATTCGCATTGTAATTCTAACCAACACTATCTATAATTATTTCAAACTGAGAAGACTAAATCATAACCGTCCTTGGTCAAGCGACGGCACAGGCCTCCACCAATTTTTTAAAAATATTTTATATATAATCTATTATATTTGTACTTGATATTTATTTTTTAGAATTCATAGAATGGTCTTAATTATAATTGAAAATAAAATTTAAGAATAATTAATTTCGAAATTGTGGTGAATATTTTGTATTTAAATATGTACAAAAATGTCACTTTAAATTGTATTTTTTATTTTTTTGAATTTTTATTCATTATTTTTGGACAAAAAAAATTATTATGTTTTTAGTTTTTTGTTATTGAATACAATAACTTGATGTCCAAATGAATTTTGACTCAATTACCTTAGTTACAAAGATTTTTTAGAATAGACTTCTAAATTTATAATTAGAGATTTCTATGTATCGGTATTACAACATCTAAATATTAAGGTAATGTTTAATAAATAACTTTGTTGACATATTATTTGATCAAATATAACAACTAAGGTAAATGTTAGTAAATAATTGTTAATATTTTTTAGAAACAAATTTTAAAAATTTTCAAGTATCAAATTATTTTTAAAAAGTTACTTCGAACTGCGTTTCAAACGTTTAAAAAATTATTAAATTCCTTTAATAATCTTGTCTTCTTAAGTCTTCTTAAATCATATGTTCCCTTCTCCACAGTTTTTGTTTGATTGTACAAAATTATGATATTATATAACATTATAATTATTGATTGGTTGGAAGTAATAATTATGAAAAGTTTGATAAAACAAAATGGTACAGTACTATGTTTCATTTGGTACTTCAAAATGACACTATATAATTAACTCTTCATGATTTACACAAAAATTTGTAACATAATTGTACTTGAGGTCACATGTAAATACTTGCCCAATGTTTTATTGATGGTAAGTTGATAAACTTATATATTACAAAGTTACAAATATCTTTTTTTTTTTTGGTTTGGACAAATGATCTATGACCATTTGCACACTAATAATGCCCAATTGATCCTCATCAATGATAACATTCATTGTAGGTGTGCGTTCCATGCAATCACACCGCTCCCTTTGATATCTCGCAGTTAATGTTATTATTTTCAAAATGTTGAATCTCCAACTCAAAAGATCTTCGCGTCGTGCTCAATAAAGCATTTAAAATGATATAAATCATGATAACTCAACTGAACATAAATATTAGATTTTTGTTTACTGCGCATATAAAAACATTCCAATCTTTGGCCATCCACGTCGTCTACTATATCATGTTTTGCCAAGTCATTGTTATCATGTCATCTTTACGATATCAACTACTACTACCATATCCTCAATGATTTTATAATTATAAAAAATCAAAATATTATTATTAAGAATTGAACACAAGTTATTTATATACAAATTAAAACTTTAACCCCACCACCTACCTCTACTACTACAACCTATTTTAATTAAAATTTCTTTTAATTTATTTAAGAGATTAAACATTTGAGACCCCCCCCCCCCCCCCCCCCCAAAAAAAAAAAAAAAAAAAAAAAAAAAAAAACCCATATTGTACTATAACTCCTTTATTTCTAATATTGTTTTCAAACATTTAATAAAATAAACACATTAATAATTTTTTTTTAAAAAAAAAAGTTAATGAGTTACAGACTTATAATAGAGTGCTTTGTTTCCAAAGGTATATTTTTGAAATGAATTTTAAAAAATAAATTAAAAGGGATTGTAACTTGAAATAGGGTGGTCAAAATTCTAGAATAGTATATAAACGATAAATGATGACAACGTTTGATTATCATGAATTTTATCAACATTCGATGTGACAAGACATTATGATGGGAGAAACTTTTTTTCATAAATAAATACGAAGACTAATAAAACATGGTGCAAATAAAAATCTCGTTAAAATTAGGAAGAAGCATAGAGGCTAGTGATAGGATTAATTAGTAATAATAATAATAATATTAATGTTTAAAGATTTGACCAATTAAGTGGATTGGAAAAATTCAATTCAATTCAGCACAATTTGTAGCCGTTCTAATTAATCTAAGAATTAAGTGCGGGAATGTTTCTACATCTGACCATAATGTTTCATTATCTAAAATGTCTAAGTGCATGGATTATGGATTATTGATAATTGATAATTTTATTGGGTTAATTGTTCCATCAACATTTATGATTTATGATATTGTGCTCCAATTTCATCCTTTAAATAGGCAAATTACAAAGTTTGTAATTTTTTTTTTAGTACCAACCTACTTAAGGACTAAAGCATAAAAAGTCAATCATATCATTATAGGGGCTCGTGACATTTTATTTGGAATAGTCAATCCATGTTACTAGACTACAAAGTCATCCACATAATATTTACCATTAATGAAATCATAAAAGTTGACATTTACTCTTCGATAATTTTGCTATACTAATATGATGCCTAATTTATAAAATTTTTAATGTAATTTATAATTATTACACAAAAATAAAATTTACTTAATATATATTATTTTAATAGTGATCACAAATTTAATTATTATCGATATCAGGACATTCGATCTTCTTAAATGGTTGCATACTATAAATTAATGTTAGCAAGAATTACAATATTAATTTTTCCGATAAGGTCGAGAATGTAACTGATGTATAATGCTCTTTATACCTCATTGTTGACGATGTCTTCACCTTTTACTTTTACATTTTTTATTAAAACAATGATGAGAAGGTGTCAGTTGTTAGGTTTGAAGAAACTAGCTAAGGTAGTAAATAACCATAAAAAGCTATAATATATGTTAGAACTAACATATCCGGACTCTTCAAGTGTACGAGCTGATCGATTCAAATCAATAATCTTTGATATGATATTGACTATGATATCAAATTGAAATACATTATCCATCTCAACTAAAAGCTTAATTAAATTAATATATATAATTGAATTATGCAGTTATGTTTATATATTATATGATCAACACTGAAAGAGATGATCGAGTGTGCGAAATATAATCTTTGTACCATATTCTTGTATTTAATTATTTACAACACCCTCTCGTCAAATCTATCGTATAACACAACTAGAATCTTTTTATTGTGGAGTATTACATATAAAAACAGAACTTATCTGTTATATACGCTTAAATGAGAATTGTGCTACGAGTTTTGTCTCATCACCCAAAAAATTTGTTATATATGTATGTATTTATTATATTTACAAAGTCAACATTATTATGGGGATTTGTTATTTGAGTACGTTATGATGTTTGAGCTGGTCTTTTGTTTTGTTTCGATCTAAACACTGGTGATGTATCATGCGTATGTATGTAGCGTCTACGTTAGTAAACCGCGTGAGCCAAACAGTAAGATACCTTTTTAGCTAGGTATCGTATTTTGTATTTATGTATTAAATTATGAGTATTATAATAAAATATTTAATAATATAAGTTTAAACCTAAAAATTATATGTGCAAAGGAACACATACAATCTTTTATTGTTGTTTTAAGCGGGATGTCTTGTATGATGAAATAATTAACAGTTTTTAGTTTCTCTAATATACTTCTTTTTTCTATTTTAACATCACTTTTAACTTTTAAAAAGCAAAACAAAAAAAAAAATTGTTTTAGTTCACAAATGGGGTAAAAAAATCATTGAAGTCTAATAGAATTTTACTTATATATAAGTATTTTATTTTATTTTTGTATGTTTCTTTTTTAATTATAACTCTCTTTAGTTTTAGTATATCTTATATAAAATAAATAACTTGATTTTAATAGGTTCATGTAAGATAAAATAATGATGATATATATAGCACAATTGAATAAGGAAAACTCAATAAAACATATAAGTCAGTTAAGATGCATTCTAAAATTTACATGCTCCACCTATCTCCACGATAAAAGACGGACTTAAAACCTCATAATTTTCACATAAACTTTTATCCAATTATATATTATATGTTAATGTTAATTTCCAGCAATAATAATTTTAAATGTAACTTAAATTTTTATTATTTTTCATCAAC